AATAAAAGACTATAGTTTGCAGTCTCCCCTACAGCTAGGTGTGGTCATGTGACTGTATTTTTGTTAATTGGAGGTGAATGGGTATTTTGTGTCTACTCTTTAGGATGGCTGCTTGAAGGGAGCATTCAGCCTAGAATACGGATATGATGGCTGGTGTTGCAGCAGCTATATTGGACCATGAGGTGAATTGTGAGGATGGAAGCCATGAATTAGGATGACAGAGCAGAAAGGTAGAAAGAGACTAGATGGTACAGTGGAGCTGCCATCCTGACCTTGCACAGCTGATTTTCAGGCTTCTCTTAAATGAGAAACACTTATCTTGTTTAAGCCACTGTTATGGGGGTTTCTTTGTTATATACTGCTGATGCTAATCCTAAATAATCTAGGTGAGCACCATACCATCTCACAGATGAGGAAACCGAGGTCACAGAGATGGTAGAGAGTTGCCCACAGTGAAGGTCCCACGGCTAAGTAAGTAACTGATCGCAGGCCCCTCTGCCCAACACACAGTGCTGCTGACTCGGTGGCATGAGAATTCTCCTCCATTCCAAACAGATATTTGTAAGAAAGCAGGGGAGGTCTTCCTCCAGAGCAGGGAAGTGAGTGTCCTCTCAGCGGCCTCTAGCAATGACTTTGAGCAGGTGTCACTTCTCATCCCGAAAACCAGGTGAGGGCATCTGTGCTCACCCCACCTCCAGCCTCGGCAGACGAGGAGGCGGGAGAGGTTCAACTGGGGCCTCGGAGCCTTTGTACATGCTAATCCCTCAGGCAGAAATGCTCTTCCCTACAGTAGCTCCATTGCCTTTCACAGGCCTGCTCTGTCCTTCCTTCGGAGTCTCAGCAGCAAGGGCCCCCCTTGGAGCTCTTCCTTGACCGCTCCGTCTGAGGAGCTTGGCTGCCAACACTTCCTTCCCCCACGCACTGTTTTCTTCCGGATCCACATCATTACCTGCCACTAAATCGCTCACCATGAGTGCCAGTTTGTCCATCAGGCACCATGGAGACAGTGGCCCAGGGCTCGTGGTACCGTCAGGGGCCCGCAAAATGGCTTAACGTCTTTTAAAATCAGAAGGTAAGAAATGAATGTGAATCCGCCTGACATATTTGTCTTTGTTCCAACACAGTCATAAAAGCGAATTTGCATTATTTTGCATGAAGGGAGGGGTCCGCACAGCCATGCTGTCATGCCAGGTACCGTTTCCTGTGCTCCCCAGGTGCAAGCTTCGCGGGGCAGACGCCTTGTCCTGTCCCCCACCTCCAGGGCCCGTGGCAGCGCTGGGGTACGGCGGACACCAGGAATTCGCGCGTGAGCAGGCGAGTGGGGGAAGGCTTCTGGCCAAAGACGAAGGTCGGGCTTCCTCCAAGCGGTCCCCGTTCCTATAAAGGGCACCGAGGTTTGGCCGCCCTCGACGGTGGTCATCCCTGCGTATGGTCTGCCGGCTCCTCCAGGGGCGACCCGACCTGGACCGCTGTGCCGCATCAGCCCCACTGGAGGTCAGTGCCTCCAGCAGGGCGTGGGCAAAGGACGGGAACGGCGGGGAGCTGGGGTTGGGCCCCCAAGCCCCTGCCCCAGCCACGGGAGAGCGCAGGAAGCTGCAACTGTCACGCCACCAGCACGCACGGCCTGAGGCATGTTGTGAGGACCTACTGAGGCTGGCTAGAAAGTTCCATTAGGCCCCAAAACTTTGTGGCGGGGGAGGGGAACAAGGCCTTGGGAGGACAGGAGCTGTGTCGTAATGGATTGAATGGTGGCCTTAAAAAAGGTCTGTCCACGTCCTAATCCCACCTGTGACCTTATTTGGTAAAAAGGTCTTTGCAGGTGAAATTAAGGATGTTGAAATGAGATCATCCTGGATTATCCAGTGAATCCTAAAGCTGATGACGAGTGTCCTTCTAAGAGACAGGCACAGGAAAGACACATAGGAAAGGCAGAGGCAATGTGAAGACAGAGCCGAGACTGGAGTGAGAACAGCCACAGGCCGAGGAAGCCAGCAGCCCCAGCGGCCGGGGGACCCGTGGCAGGGTTCTCCCTGAAGCCTCTGCACGCAGCACAGGTCTGCAGACACCCTGACTGGTGACTTCTGGCCTTGGAACTGTGAGAATACACTTCTGCTGTTTTAGGGCCCCATTCTGTAGGAACCAGTGACGGCAGCCCCAGGAAACGAATACACTCACCTTCTCCAAAAGATCTAAACAGAGGGAAGGACTCAGAATGTACGTGTGAGAATTCTCGGAGCAGATGGCCTCCGGGACCACCGCTAGCCAACCCCCCCCCAGCCTCCCAGGGAGGCCCACACAGCCTCTGTCATTGGCAGGCAGGGGAGGACTCACAGGGAAGGCTGCCGGCCCCAGCCCGGGAGGGAGCTTCGAGTTCAGCAGTGTGCTTGTAAGGGAGGGCCTCGGGCAGTGTGGAAGCAGGAGGGAGACCCAAGGCCTGCACTGGTGGTCTGGGAAGCCGGCACTGGTTCAGGGACTGACACCTGGGATTGGGGGACCTCTCTGCACCCGCTCAGTGTGGCCCGCAGGGACGTCAGGCCAAGCAGTGGGCCCCATGGGACCCGCCACAGGAGCTCAGAGGGCAGGCAATGAAAAACGGCTCCACGGTGAAAACGAGCAGGAGAGGTGGAAAGCAGGAAGGGAAATGTGAAGGCTAAAGATGAAGCACGTGTGGTGCTTCAGCCACAACACACCTGCCTACAGGGCCCCCAAAAGTTGCCAGACCAGGGGGGTGGGCGTGCCAGGGATGAAGAATGTCTGCCCTCTCTGCTTCTTCCTGAAGGCGTGGCCCTCTCTGCCCAGCTTTTACCTTCCTGCTCTTAATAGACACATGCGTACAAATACCCAGCTCTCTGCAACTATTCAAACAGCAACTGATGTTCACCCCTTCGTGAGAGAGGCAATTGGGAGTAGTGGGGACTATGGCAACAACCACTCTTTGGCTCCAGCCGAGAGTTTCCATGGAGGAAGGTGGCCCAGGGTAGCCAGCTCTGCCCATTTCTCAAGGGAAGCCAGAACTGGGGATTTTTTTTTTCACCCCCAACCTTCTGGTTCTCAAAAGCATGTTGGCCACGAATTCATTTTTTGAAGATGTATAAACACCACGCGGAGGGGTGGGGGTGGGGGAGAAGACACGTCTGCAGGCCGCATCTGGCCCTCCAGTTTGTGGCTCTGGTCTTTGGCCTAGAAATAGAACAAAAGCTAACTTGCGCATCGGGACAGTGACAGGAGGGTTTGGAAATCACAGGGGCTGGAACTTGTTAGGAGTGGCTGCTTCATTGGAGGCAACGGGGGAAGAGCGAACAGTCTGGCCAAGTAACAGCTGGGGTTCTAACATCCATCAGGTGACCTCAGTGTGCACTTCAAAGCAAGAAGGAACCTGAGCTGTTGTTCCACACTGCATGGCTGAGTGCTGCTCTGTGCGCAGTTAGGCGGCGGGCCCCGGGCTGCCTCCACCAGGCCCCCAGGGGTCCCTCCACGGCTTGAGCTGGGAGCCAACAGCAGCCCCCCCACCACTGAGATAATTTGCACTGGACAATGTTGGCTCTGGGGCCTGTGCTGCCTTAGTTTTGGGTGTACACTTCCCCCACCGTGCCTTTTTTTTTCTTTCTTTCTTTCCTGTGCCTCTATTTTATTGGGATGACTAAATCTTTAAACTATGTTAGCAGTAAACACAGCTAATTTACCCCCTGCCTCTTTGAAACAGCTGTTGACAGCTGCACTGTAATTCAATCAAGGATCTTTGTAGTGGAGCCTACCAAATTCCCATTTGTTGTTGGGTTCCATCTCTCCTGCCTGGAGCCCCACACAGCTGCACCAAACATTGACGAGCGCCCCTTTCTCCCCAGGGCCTGGATGATAAACAGCATGTTAATGGTGGGGGCCAAGGCAGAGAGTTCTTAGCAAACCAAGAGAACTCCAATGTCCAGGAGTTGAGAGAAAAAACAACACACACAGACATACACAGCCCCAAGAATCAGAACCAAATGTCTCCTTTTATTGAAAAGTCAAAACCCTTTTTATTTTGTCTATTTATACAGAAAATTCGCGGAAGACTGCTCTATGCAACAGCTGAAGGTACATTGGTCTGATCATTAATAAATAGTCTTAAATAAGAAAACAAACAGGCTGGGGGAAGCGAGCTCATCATCCTGAACAAGGGATCGAAGGAGGGTGTAAAATGAGCTTCCAATGGACATAAATAATTTCTTTGTTTTGTAACAACTATTTACATGTTTCAATGTACAAAGGATGCTAGCCAGAAACCAGGTGGGGCTTGAGTGGTGAGAAAACTTGCACCAAGAGGGAACCACACAGAAATCCCCAGGTCTACCAATAGATAAAACAAAGTACGGCAAAAACAGTGACTCTTTCCCATTGACCAGGCAGATTGGAGGCTGTGGCCTAAGCTACTGAAGAAGAAAAATAAAAGAAAATAAAAATGGGGCCCCAGTGTTTCTAGGAACCAACTAAATCAAGGTGGAGAAACGATTCCCTGCTGGACCGGGTTCCAGGGGCATAGGACTTGCCTGGATAACCCTGTTCTTTGTTAACAGACAGCCCAGAGCTCCGCAAGGCCTGTGTCTCAGCCAGAGGCTGGGTGCACAGCATTTAGGGGACCCGCTGGCCAAGGCAAGGGAGGCTCACGCCAAGAGCCACATCAGAGATGGCACCTTTGAATTGGAATGCTCAATTAGGACATCACTCTCAAAGCAGTTTCTAGATCCTTCCATTTTGAGATTCATGTCCAGCATACCCTGCACCTAGCAGTTCTCCACCATGCCATCTGCTCCTCACCTCAAGGAGCTTATTGTTTTCAGAGCCCTCAATAGGGGTCTGCCAATGAGAACAGGTGGCTTCAGAGGCCCCGGTTAGAACCCAGACTCCAGGGTGCTGCTGCCAATCATGACCAACAGGGGAGCCCAGCTGGGGGAGTGACAGTATGCCTGCCCATCCCACCCCTATCTAGAGTGAGGTTTCGTTGGCACTTCTTTAAATAGGGCCTTGTTAGCTAGAGTTCAGGGTCAAGTTGTAGGTTCTCTTCTGATTGCTGTCCCTTCCGCCCTGTCATTCCACATTGATTTTCTACCACTAGGAGAGCTGGAAAACCAATTCCAAATGTCTGTCGGCGCTTCACATGCCTAATTTAATTTCTGCCGCCACACACCCAGCCGAAGGATGGAACATATTTTTCCTTCAAGGTCAATACACCCCCTCCTCCAAGCAGAAATTTGCCCTCTCCCTTCCCGGTCAAATCTTGGATTTGGGCAAATCTATGTAAACAGCGGGCCTCTGCAAGCCTCAGAATGAAACCAGAATGGAACAGAGAGGGGGCCTCCCCTGCTTCCACTGGCCACAGCTTCTGTTTATGAAATCAGAGTAAACCAAGAAATGGGGATAAATTGTTTAGGAAAATATATCTGTAACATCCTAACCATTTTCATTCATTCGTTTTATTGTGACATTTATTACAGGAACTTCCGTGTCAATTTTCCTTGCGCACAGACACAAACGTGCCCACCCCTGGCCATGCCCCCTTCCTCCCACTGCTGGGTGGCCTGGCTGAAGGGTGCTCCTAATTACCCCTGGGAACGAGTCAGTGCACGGCTGAGACTTCATAGCCAATGATTGTGGCTGGGCAATTTTTCTTTATATTTTTTTTTTCCTTTAGGTTTTGCCTGCCACAGCGTGTAGGATCTTGTCCATAGGAGGCGGATGAAAACCTGATCAAAAGGCATTTGCCTCTCAAATTCCTTAATCCTCCTACATCCTTAAGGTTGGGGACGGGGGCAGGGCAGGTCTCACGAAAGGCAGTTGCTGTGCTGGGCGGTGGGAGACCAAGGACCCCGAACAGTGTGGCGCCAGAGGGTCTGACCTCCAGGAGGCGCTAGTGGCAGCCACAGGCTCGGACGACCATGTTTCTGTATTTCTTCAGGATGACGTTGGAGCTGTCGTCGAAGTAGAGGACAGAGATGGCGTTGAGCTGAGTAGGGGCACAGCAGGGCTTGGGCACCGTTTCGGGGTTGATGAAATGGACCTGGAACACACAGTGAACGGTGGCAGTGGTGAGAAGCGCTGGGTCCCCGCTCCCCGGCCTCCTCATTTCTAAGGACCACCAACTGCTTGGGCAAAGTGACCGCACGCGACACTTCCCCCGGGAGTGACTGCATGTGACACTTCCAGTTCTGGCCCATGACACATAACCTCTGTTGCGCAGACCAGGGACCCAGAGCATAGAGGTGTCCGCAGCACACAGCTGGGAAGTCAGCGGGCAGGTCATTCTCCACTGCCCCGCGGTCCTGTGCATTGCAGAGTGTTTACCAGCGTCCCCCACGAGAAGCCAGAGGCACTCAACCCCCAACCACAACCACCAAAAATGTCTCCTGGGAGGCAGATCTACCCCAAGTGGAGAACACCTGGGTCAGACAGAGTGGACCAGCAGGCCAAATCCTGTGCCGCTGCCTGGTTTTGTGAATAAAGTTTTATTAGCACCCGGCCACGCCCATTGGTTCCCTAGTACCGAGGGCTTCTTCTGCACTACCATGGCCGAGTTTAGGAGCTGCAACAGAGGCCTTATGACTCACAAAGCTAAAAACATTTACCATCTGGCCTTTTTCAGAAAAAAGTGGCTGACCGCTTCGCCAGACCTGTCCTGTCCAAGAAAAATACAACGCAGGTTGTATTGTAATTGAAAATGTTCTAGCGGCCACATTTGAAAAGAGGAAAAGAGATAGGTAAAATTAAATAATAGATTTCATTTAACCCAGTATTTCAAATATATTATCATTTCAACACACACCTACCATAAAGAACCTTTTTTTTGGCACTAAGTCTTCAAAACTTAGCATATTTTAGACTGACAAAGCATCTTGATTCAGACTGGTCGTATTTCAAGTGCTCAAGAGCCATGTGTAAAAGTGGTTACTGTATTGGATGGCGCAGGTCTAAGTTATACTAGACGATTCTGCCTCTTGAGCAGTGAAACTAGGAGGACAAAACTGGGCAAACACTTGGGTGGAAGTCCACGAGAAAAGCAGAGGGTCTAGAAGGGAGGAGTGAGGGAGGGGGCCAGCGAGCCGAGCAGGTTTGCTGCTCCTTCTTGCTCGTGGGATTCTGTGCACCTTACAGGGGACGAGGGCCAGGGGCAAACAAACTCAAAGGCCCAAAGGGCCCACGCAGGCACCACTGACAAGCAAAGGAGGCGAAGAGTAAGACAAGAGGGAATAGTGAGGGTTGGGGCAAACCCGAGGGTGGATGCTGCCAGCTGACCGCGGCCAACCAAAGTCAGTGCAGTTGGGTGTGCCGAGTGTCCAGGACAGGCCAGAGACTTAGTTCTGCTTTGTTTGGATGTGAAACTTCCAGGTTTCCAACACACCACGTGTGCCAAGTGAAAGCATTCTGGAAGCCTCCAGCCTGTGACCTCTGGCATAAGACAGCACACTGAGTAGCTTCTTATTATGGATGATTTCAAACCTTACAAATCTAAACCTTCCCCCCACCTCCTCCACCCTTGAATAATTTGAAAGCAAATCCCAGACATCAGCTCATTTCCTCTGTTTTTCACTAGGACTCCCAGAAGGCAAGGACTCCCCCCACCATTTTTTTTTTTTATTTCCTTCAGAGGTAGAATTTAGAGATTCATCAGTTGCATATAATTTTTTTTGCCCATTCTGCCAAGTGTCCTCCTTCATGCCCATACCCAGGTTACCCCCTCCCCTGCCCACCTCCCCGCCAACAACCCTGTTTGTTTCCTAGAGCTCAGCATCTCTTATGGTCTGCCTTCCTCTCAATTTTCATCTTATTTTATTTTTCCTTCCCCTTCCCTCTTTTTAAACATGACCACAGAACCTCTTGTTAGGATAATCAGACAGCTCCTTCTGATCCCAGAGCTCCCTAGTGACACGCAGACTGAGTGGGTGATGAGGGTACAGCCAGGCTCCCACTGTATGGGCCATGAAGCAGGGGTCGGAGGGCAGAGGTGTGCCCCTGGCAGCCTGGGAGACCCCCCTGGCACCTCCTAGGGGCATGGGGCAGGACCTTAGGGGGCACACGGGCACAGGAGAACAGGCCCAGGCCAAGGAACAGGTTGGGGGCACTACTGGTTTCCAGCCCAAGGACTTTCAATCCCGAGCAGGACGTCAGAGTTTACCTTTGGGGAAGGAAGGGCCTTGGAAAAGCATGGCTAAAAGAGAAGCCTTCACTCAAAGGGCAGAGCATGGTCCAAATGAAAGGACTAAGGGAGCTTTTTCTCCAAGACATAACACACAGGGCAGGAACAAGTCTGCCACTAAACAAAAGAAGCCAAAAGCCTCAGAACAAATAGAACTGTAGGACAGAGGGGATGGCCCTGGGTAGTGAGCTCTCTGTCACCAGGAGCATTCAAGCCAGGGAAAGGCCCCAATAATGTTTATGGCAGGGAGCTAGATAACCAAGATGCCTGAACCTCAGATTCTAAGCCGAAGAACCAAGTTCCTAATTTTTATCACTGCTGCTATTTTCAGTAGAGTAAAAATCACTTCTATCAAGGGTCACCAGGGTTGGGTACCCTGATAAGAGCTTATCTTCTCATCACAGTGAATCCTGCAAGGACCCCGTGGAAGTGCAGCCTGAAACAGCCCCCGCCCTGCCCCATCTCTCTGTCCTGTCTGCCTGCTTCCTACCACTTCCTCCACTCACGCATCCTCCGTTGTTCACCTGACTGCTTCTCTCTCTGGAAACTGAGGCCCCAAGGGCAGGGACCAGGTCTATGCTGTTCCCAGTGGCATCCTCAGCTCCCAGTGCGGGATCTACCTGCAGGAGACGCCCTTGGATGGCCGAACCCCAAAGTTCAAGGCTAGGGGGCAAAGACATGCGCTCGGGGAGGCGATGGGCTCTCAAGCCTGCCTGAACCCAGGAAAGCCCAGACTTTGGGGGCCAGAGGTGGGGACACCTATGGATGCGGAGCAGACATGCGGACAACCAAGAACAGTCGCCCAGAGAGTGGCAGGGCCAAGGCTGACTTCACCGTGAGGCACAGTGACCATGAGCCAAGATACCTTTAGGAGCCCCTGAAACTGTTCTTATTTCTTTTCGAATTAGGAGAAATCCGTGAACTTTAGGGTTGGAGATTACACACATCTTTATGCCAATGCTGTTATAAAATATGGTTTTTCATCTTTTTTCATTTTTATGGAGGAAGGGGCCCATGACAGGAGGAGCGCCCAAGGCCCGTGAAAAGTCAGGGACCAGCCTGGAGGAGCGCAAGGCAGGGCCGGGCGCTCCCTCTTCCCCCACCCCGCTGAGCACGCCCGGAGGGCACGCAGGCCACACTCACCAGTGTCTGCACGATGGCGTGGTTGGTGGCGTTCATGTAGGAGTTCAGAGGAAAGGCACACTCGCCCTCACAGTAGTAAGCAGCATAGCCTTCGGGAGCGATGATCCAGTCCTGCGGGAGGGAGAGCGTGAGCCCCACATGACCTTTCTTGCCCCAGCCCACTCCTGCGGGCCAGACTCTGTGCTCCCAGGGGACCAAGCCGCGGCCCACACCGTCCCGAGCAGCTGAGGGTCCCACAGAAACAGGACAAACGGAGGCTAGGCTATCAAGGCCCCCCACAGAAGGCAAAATGAGGGAAAGACCACCCAGGGGCTGGGCTGAGTCCAGAACGGACGCTTGCATGGCCTTACTGGGAGATGGCCCAGACAAGTGTGACCGGGGTGGCTTCAACTCTAGCGCTACGAGGTGCTTACACGTTGGCAGTTTGCTTTAAACAAAATCCCCATGCCTCAGGTCACCGACATGGGAGAGAGACGACTAACCCACAACACTGAGAATTAGTGACTACAGACGAGCCAGCCAGCGCCTGGTGCATGTGTGCGGCTCAGTGAAGGATGCACACGGCCAGGCCTGCCTTCAGGGCTGGGTTAGCACAGGAATACCGTTCTAGCAATATGTACACCCCTCACGGGCTCGAGTCCGTGGACTCCTCCCGCAGAGGAGCTGGAGTCTGGGGCTCGGCTCCAGCCCCAGGGCGCAGGCACGGCCGGGTGCCCTGCAGAGCACAGAGCCACGGGAGGGCTCCACACGGGCCGTACGCTAATGCCCTGATAGTGCGCTTGGGCACGATCCCCAGGGAAGAACCCGGACTCCCCCACCGGACCACAAGCTCGCTGAGGAGTGAACAACAAAACCAGCGGCCTTGGTGATCTCAACACCCTGTTCGGGATATTTGAGCTCCATGAGGGCAGGCACACGGTAACGCTCCCTGCTGCATCTCCAGGGCCTGGAAGAGTGCCCAGAATCTCACAGATGCTCATAAACAGGCATTAGATTGTATGACCCTCGTGCCTGTCCTAGGATTCATCTCCTGCCCTTCGCCCCATTCCATCCAAATGGTTCTGGAAGGAGCCGTCATGGTCCTATGACACGATCTCATCCCCCAAATAGCTGGCTGGTGCAGGACCAAGCACCTGACCCAAGCTGGGCCAATCCGCCCCTGCCCTGGGAAGGGGAATCACGGAAGAGGGAAGGGCAGAGGGTGAAAGGTGGCCCTGCAGGCAGCTGGGCTCCAGCACATGGGCTCCACCACCTCGGAGAGAAGCAGGCAGCCACAGGGTGGAGATAAAGTTCCCATGGAGAATGAGGCTCGGAGTCCAAAGTGTTGGGGCTCCTGGCTCTAACTGGAGTCTCCACCACATTTCTGCCCTTGCGTGTCGTGAGGCATCCCTGTACCTCTAACCTGACTTCTCTACCCTAGTTAGGACACTTGATTCTGGAGTCTTCGCTGAAGCCGATGAGAAACATGGCTCACTGCCCACACGGGACCCAGCCCCGCTGCCTTGGGGGGTGTGCGGGGACACCCACGCCAGAGCCCCCCCCCCCGCATCGGGGCCGATCCGGCCACCCGTCCTTACCTGCCAGCCCAGATCGCGGAAGCTGACATACAGCTCGTGCTTCTTGCAGGCCTGCCTCTGGTCGCCGCTGCTGTTTTCTACGTTGGCGGGAGACGGGGTGCAGGCAGGGGAGAGGAAACACGCACACATATTAGGATTTCCTCAGCCTAAGGCAGTGGTGTGAGAGCACAGTCGAACTCAGCTGGAAGGCGACCTTTCCGACACAAAAGCCGCTCGAGTACCTGGAGCCTTAAAACTCATTTCCATCCCTAGCTAACGGCCTCCGTAAGAGGCGCCACCATCCCCACCCCTCTTGCGCCATCTTAGCTCCTAACGCTCTCTGGATCCTTCGGTGGACACTGGCCTTTTTGTACACGTGTTGTCTGGAGGCTGACCTCTGCCTGGATTCCATACAGGAATCCACGCACCACCGTGCTGGCTGTGGGAGCCTGCTCAGAGGGCACTGCCTCTGGCCAAGTTCACCTGCTGAGGCCAGCCCACCCCACGATGCTCACCCCTCTTCAAGGGCAAGAGGGGGCACAGACACAGTCTGGGACAAAGTCCCCACCACCAGGAAGAAATGAGAGGGCAGGAAGTCAAATCCCACTGACCTCCCAGAGAAACACACTACTGAAGTTTCTTTGAGAAGTAAAAACTATGCACTGGGGTTTTCCAGAAGTAGGTAAGGTTTGTAGGAATTTGGGTTGGGCTTGAGCACTTGTAAACACGTAGAAAGCTCTGCCCCCCTCTCTCTCTCACACACACACACAGACACAGACACATACACACACACACACACACACACACTCTGGTGTTCCTGCACAATTTTCCATCCTGCAGACACACACACACACACACACACACTCTTTTCTTTTCTTACCCATGACTTGTCTTTCCTCCAGCTAAAACTTTCTAAGGGCTTTCTATCATGCTTAGAGCAATGCCTCAACTCCTGCCCTTGGCCTGTATGGCTCTATGTGGCCCTGATTCCTAAGCCACAGCCTTCTTTCTGTGCTGTGGATGTACTGCCAAACCTGTTCCTACCCCGGGGCCTTTGCACTTGCTGTTTCATCTACCTGGAATGCTCCTTTTCATAATCTTTGTATGTCTGGGCCTTTGCACTTGCTGTTTCATCTACCTGAAATGCTCCTTTTCATAATCTTTGTAAGTCTGGCTCTACTTGATATTCAAGCCTCACCTCGAATGTTGCCTCTTCTAAAAGGTCTTGTGAGGTCACCATTGGATCCCAGAGCCCGGTGTCCACCCATATTTGTGTAGTTCACACACAAAGAAAGAAAACGTAAATGCCTCAGCTTCTGTCTACTGCTGTGATCCCTCCAGCCCTCAGAAGGTAATGAACACCAGTGGGTGAGGGACATGAGGAGAACTTCTTGCAGGATGGAGAGGAAAGCCCAGGAGATGACCCAGGTTGCCTGCTCACCTGACCTACACTTGGGAAGCATGCAGATGCACCCGTTTCCCCCTGCCCGGTCAGCTCTCTCAGATGGCTGGGTGAGTGGCCCTCCTGGTGGCCTCAGGGGCTCATGGCAACCACAGCCCTTGTTAGTGATTGGTTCAGACCCAGGACTGAGCTCACCAGCTCCTATCTCATCCTTGGAGTGAGGATTGGCTCAGATAAGAGCAAATGACCCCATCCGAGCCAAAGGGACACAGGTGGAAGCACGGTGGGGGCTTCTGGAAAAAGTTTCCTAATTCCTAAGAAAGACCCATGGGAAAAGATGCTCATCTCTTGCCCATATTGCCTGGGAACTGAAAAGGAGTAGAGCTGATGGTTACATGCAGCCACAGCCTCGAGGAGAAGCCAACACTGAACATGGTGGGCAAGGACAGGAAGCCAGGGTTTTCATCGTCCTTGACTTTCTGGATCAACCAACCCTCATACCCACCCAACCTTGGCACTGGGAGCCAATAGCTTTCCTAGTGGTTGAAGCCACCTGATCTGCGTTTCTGAGACTTGCAGCCAAACCACCCAGGGGGTCCCACCTGGAAAGGTGCATCCCGGTGTGGGGGTGGTAGTCAGCTGGAGCCCAGGGATAGACCCCAGAGTACACCAGCTCCCAAGTGGAGTCCGGCCAGTGTGTCAGGACCAGGTAAGGGGGTGCCGCTCCAGCTCTGGAGTCAGCCCCTGGTTCTCCTAGACCTTGGGCTCCTCGTCTGCAGAGCGAGGAGAAAGTGCCTACTGGGGCAGCCATGCACGTTCCAATCAGTTTAGCACAACACTCAGCTCATGGCAACAAGATGCTGATGATCGTCCTTCCAGCCCACCTGCGAGAAGGTTAAAACTATATGCAAACTTCATTCCCACACACACTCTTTAACCATTTGGAGTTAATGACTGCTTCCTCCAAACCCGACGACACACCATGTTTGGAAGAAGCGAAATATCAGTTTCCTGCTGTCCTCTGATTCACAAGAATTCTATCTGCATGGCTTCTAGGTTAATGAGAAACAGTAAGATAAAAAGGATATCACTGAATTCCCTTCCCCGTACCTCAACTTCCCCATCTGTGAAATGGGTGTGAGAGTTGTGTAGGAAGCCACATGTGGCGACCATACACTGCAAGTCAGGAAGATCTCCTTGGGTACCTGCTGGGTATTACGCTGTCCTAGAAGCCTTGAATGTGAATGTACAGCCACTCAGACTACTCCAAGGCTAGGAACAAATCTGAAATGAAATGGTGCAGGAGGGGAGTGAGAAGGAGAAGGAAGAACAGGGTCGAGGAGAAGAAAACAGGGAGGGCAGCAGAGAGTGCAGCAATCGGAAAATGGTCTCCAACAGGCTTTAAAAAAATGCGTAGGTCTGAGATGAGCACGTATTCATGGCTGGGTGGGTTCAGTCCTATGCAACTTCCACCTCCATCAGCCTCTGTGAATATTCCTGATTTTGTACATATCTTTATACCTATAGCTCAGGAAAGCAATTTTTAAAAAGTTGCAAACCAATGAGAAAAATCACATTGTATTCATTATGACAGAACTGCATGTGTCTTTATAGGAGGGATCCTGGCCCTTGGGGACACTCAGAGCTCCTGAGATGACTTCAGTGGGGGGGGGTGGGCACAGTCTCACCACCTGGGTGCCTGGTGCACCATCCATCCATCCATCCATCCATGCATCCATCCATCTATCCGTCCATCTATCCACCCACGCATCCATCCATGCATCCATCCATCTATCCGTCCATCCATGCATCCACGCATCCATCCATCCACCCATCCATGCATCCATCCATCTACCCATCTATCCATCCATGCATCCACACATCCATCCATCTACCCGTCCATCTATCCATCCATGCATCCATCCACGCATCCATCCATCTATCCATCCATCCATGCATCCACGCATCCATCCATCCATGCATCCATCCATCTACCCGTCCATCTATCCATCCATGCATCCATCCATGCATCCATCCATCCACCCTTCCATGCATCCATCCATCTACCCGTCCATCCATCCATCCATGCATCCATCCATGCATCTATCCATCTATCCATCCATGCATCCATCCATGCATCCATCCATCTACCCGTCCATCTATCCATCCATGCATCCATCCACGCATCCATCCATCTATCCGTCCAACCATGCATCCACGCAGCCATCCATCCATCTGTCCATCCATACAAACTGTTAATGAGTGTCTACTGGTTTGCAGATGCTGTTTTGGGCATTAGAACTACAGGTAGCCATGAACAAAACAAAGCCTTGCTGCGGGGGCACTTATCTTCCAGTGAAAGAGGCAGGCAGTAAGTCAGCAAGTAAACATAGACTACATCCTGTCGAGATGGAGAACAGTAAGGTAGGAGAGGAGGGTGTGCTTCCAGGGGGACTGTGGGATGGAGGGTGCTAACAGAAGGATCTTCTGAGTAAGTGATGTTTGCGTAAGAACCAAAAGGAAATGAGAGCCAGCCAGAGAGGCGTCCAAAGGAGGAAAATTCCAGGATGAGGATGTAGGGGAATGGAGAGGAAGGTGCCTTCCATGACTGGAAGGTCAGCAAGAACCCTAAGAGCAGTGGCTGCTGACTGAGGGACAGAGAGTCAGGCACTAGAGCCTTCCAGGAATGAGGAGGCATGAGCAGGGCTCAGCAGCAGGCAGCGTGGAGGGGGCGCAAGGTCTACTTTGCTGGACTGAGCTCCAAGGCTGGGGGCCGGGGGAGGTTGGGAGGACAAAGCAGCAATGGGGGTCCGGGGTCCCCCTTCGCTACCTCTGGGCCTGGCAGCCCGAGGGCTGAGACAGGGAACCAGCTACAGGGGTAGCAGGGCCTCCGGAGGGCCAAGTGGTAATTAACATGTGAAGGTCGAGGTCAAGGGAACCATCAGAGAAGAGCTCCAAGAAATCTATCGGACCATTCGCGATACTGTCCAGAATGCACTGAGTGGAAGTCCAAAGATGGCCTCCATCGCTGCGGCAACACCCACGGTCGCAGGAAGCAACGTCAATGCGTAGCCTCCTTCTCCCCCTCGCTGCAGGGAGGTGGAAGGTACAGGGGAGGGAGGAAGAGCATCCCTCAGCCAGTGATGCGTGAAGCAGCCTGAACAAGACGGAGGACTGAACACGTTAGCTTGGGACAGGGACGTGGCAAAGAAGCTTCGGGTCAAGCACCAACATTCCTGGCTGCTTGATGTCCTAAGTAAACAAGGATCCGAAGCTTTGTGAGGCTCAGTGAGAAGAAGGTGCCACAACTGATTAGTAATGTCTGCCACGGGTGGAGGTGGGGCAAGTATCGGCCTGAGTGCCACTTTTCCCAACCCTGTCTTAAAGAAAAGCAATGATATTTGGCTTCATGTTAAAACCCAGGCCCAATAGATGAAGGCTGCGAGCAGCTTGTGAGACCAGCTGTGGGTGCCAGTAGGGGCTGGGCACTGGCCCTGTCACCAGAGACCCAGACATCTGCACCGCCCCTCCCGGCCTCCTTGGATTGTGAGGCTGCTCTGGGAGAGAGGTCGGAAGTCCTGTTTCCCGACGATCGCGTGTTAGCCGAAAGACTCAGAGAGGGAAGAAGAGATGCCTGTGAAGGAGACTCCCAGCTCCCCTGTCCCTCTGGTCTGGACCCCCAAACCCATGCGGCCACTTCATTTGCCTCAACCGACCTCTGCCTGAGCGGCTAACAAGTTACAACCCCCAGATCATTTGGGGAGGATGCCTAATTCCCAAGGGGTTGGGTGCAAACGTGGGTGGGGAGAAGAAAGTGGGACCCAGTCTCTCAACCCCAAACCACAATGCCCTAAGAGCAGGTGAAGGCTCTGGGGCGGGGTGATCAGCCTACAGGGAAGAAAGCTTTGCAGTGGACGGCAGGTGGGAGCGTGTGTATCCCTTCCACACATCAAGGGCCGCCACATGAGGGGATTCAGCAGGATTCCCAGCCATCACATGAGGTAAAGCCCTTCAGAAGGGTGTGTATATGTGCATACACACACATTCAGACATTCTGGTTTACCAAGCCTGGGGTGCGGCCCAGCCCTTGGTTTTTTTTTTTTTTTTAATTAAATTTCCAGGAAGGGTTGAGATAAACTGCAAAAAGGGCCGGGAAGTAGAAAGTCCCAGGATGGAGACAGATTCCAGGCAAGCTAGAACAGCTGTCATGTGAGAGAGTGAGAGCCCCGTCCTGGGGGTTATGTAAATGGAGTGTTTCGTGGGGATGCAGGGGGGGAAATTGGGTGTCGAATTCTAAGACTTTGAGGCCTGGTCCCTCTTCCTTCATTACACCCGACAGGCCTCCCAGACGCTGGGTCTGCGAGCATGGAATGTACCGGCACGTCCTGCCTGGCTGATATGGAAAGACATCTAAGAAGTCTCCCTCCTCTGACCCTCCCTGAGCACCCCACCCTGCTCCCCACCATTCTCAGCGCAGCCAGAAGGATCATCTGATCACCCCTGCGCCCACACCATAGCTTCAAACTCTGCAGAGGCTTCCAAATTTGTTTTGGTTGAAGTTCAAACTCAAGATGTGACTCTGAAGAGGACTCTTGACCTTGCTCACCTTGCCAGCCCCAACCTCCCCTTGTTCCACGGCCTCCCTCTCCCCTCAAAGGAGCGCCGCCGCCTCCCACCCTAAGCCCCTGTGCCTGTGGGGCCCACTCCCCAGATCACTCTGGTCGAGCCGACCCAGCCAGGCCTCAGGGGCACCTGCTAGTCCTTGAGTCCTTGGCAGGGCAGTCTTCTCTGCAGCTCCCTCCCCCGGGACGTGTCAGTGCCCTAGTCACCATCCCCTGCCTTCAGGCCTGTTAGTAAGTGACAGCCACCTCCAGCCTGGCCCAGACCCCGAGGGCAGACCATGGCTGGCTTTCCCCAGGGGACCCCAGCCACTAGGGCCAGCACAGAGGAGGTTCCCACTGCAAATTAAGGGATTCTGTTGGATTTTCATTAGGGGGCCTTACAGAGCCTTCCAAGAGGCCTGAAAAAAGAATGGATCCACCTGCCAGTGAAGAAGCCCTCCAGAATCCCTGCACACAAGCTTCAGAGACACTGAAGCCCATACAGGGGCCCTGGGGTCAGGAAACCCTGCTCTAAAAACTTCACCAAGCACAGCGACCGTTCCTTTCTTCGCCTTCAAAAAGGAAAATGAACAGAAATAGGAAAACTGGCTACATGAAGCCAAAGAAGCTGATGACAGTAAAAGGTTAGTCTGGGGGTGGGGGCTGCTTGGAGGCCATGTGCCCCCCCCCACCCCCCACCGTGTGCCCCTCCAGGCACAGCTCAGCTCAGAGCTTCCCACGCGGCCGGCAGGCTAATTCCGCTGCAGACCCTGCCTGGCCTCGCAGCCCACCCAGAGCTGAGATGGTGCAGGGGCACGCGGAGTAAACCACTCTGCAAACATGGTGGGTCCACTTCCTACGGCTGCTTTAACGAATTATCACAAACACAGCGGCTGAAAACAACACCAGTTTATCATCTTCCGGCTCTGTAGTTCAGAAGTCCAACACGGGTTAAATTCAAGGGGTCAGTGGGGCCGTGTTCCTTCTGGAAGCTCAGGGAGAAATCAATTTCCTTGTCTCTTCCAGCTTCTAAAAGCCACCCGCCTTCTCGGCTTGTGTGCCACACCCCGCCTCTATCTTCAAAGCAGGCGACATCACACCTCTCTGCCCTTCTCTGGCCTCACACCTCTCGGACCACAGTGAGGAGGGATTCTCCGCCTGGAAGGACCTCCGTGATTATAGTGGGATGCTGGGCCCACCTGGACCACCCCGGCTTATCTCCCTCTTTTAAGGTCAGCTGATGAGCAACTGCATTCTGTTGGCAGCCTTGGCCCCCTTTGCCATGTAAGGTAATGGATTCACCAGTTCTGGGGATTAAGACATGGACATCTGGGGAGCTGAGGGAGCCCCACTCAGGGAGCAGTACGGCTGGTCAAGGTGAGGGGACAGGGCAGGTGGTTTCTTTCAGCCACAAGCTGGGCACCATGGATCTGGGTGGTCATTTCCGCAGTCCCTGGGGAAAATGGTTTGTCGGTGAAGTTAATTTATTTGCAACTTTCCTTTTGGTCTGGGGGAACATCGAGGTGCATCTTTTCAGAAGCGGCACTCAACATGCAGGAGACCATGGGGCGGGGCGGGGCAGGGTGTGGACATGCAGGCCACAGGCGTCCACAGTGTTGAAGAGGCCGATCCAGGCCCGCCCAGCCCCCAGACTCATCCCAGCAACCCCAGGCCACCAGATGCCAACAACATTCTGGTGCCTGGTCAGCTGGGAGGGAAAAGGACCCTGTTGCAGCCAAGCCCCAAGGCTGGCAAAGGCAGGCCCACGCGGGGCCCAGCAAACGCCTGGTGAATTGTGTGAAGACAGTTAACAGGATTGTTGGGGGCCCCAGAGCTCACCAAGCAGACGCCTCCTGGCAAAACCAAACAGGCTCAAATCCCAGGGCTGCCACTTACTTGCTTTGTGCGCTTGGACAAGTTACTTAACCTCTCTGTGCCCCATGTCTGCCCCCACCATCAAATGGCAGGCCATCCTCCTCAGAGCCTCAAGAACCACAGAACACCATGAACCCTACAACAAGTACCTAAATGTCTCAAGCCCTGGAGGTTTCCTGGAAGGAATGCACTAACCAGTATTTTCTATCAAATCTTTGAATTGCTAGCTATGAAAATGCTAGCTTTATTTTTAATGTTTTTACTTATAATAATGCATCATGGCAATGAACCTAAAGTACCCCCCCAAAATACACTGAAAAATCTACTGCTCATTTTTTTTTACTTATAACAAAACATTTCAAACAAACCTAAAACTATCCCAAATAATACACAAAAAACTCACTATGACCCATATTTAACTAGTAAAATGAGCCATGAGCTTCAAATATCTTTCACTTTAAGAACTAAAATTGAAAACACAGCAAACTCCCCCATTTTTTTCTCCTTTTCACTCCCAAGCAGCGGCCTCCCTGGGGAAGGTGGTGTGGTGTCTTCCCACTATATGTTTCTAGAGCTTTCTTTCATTTCTTTGTAGCCACCATTTTGTCTACTTGGAAATTTACACGACTGGCATCTTGTTATACTAATGTTTTGCTATGTGCATTTCTAAGGAACTTACTACTTTTACACAGTTAAGGCGGTGAGCTCTGCGCAGGATGGGATTTTGTGGGGTTTGCTTCCTGCTACATTGGCTCGAGGATCATTTGTGGGGCATAGGAATGGATTTGAGTCACGCCCCTACTGGGGTCCTGCTGTGGGTTCCTGGGGTCCGTGCATTGACCCTCCCGCCCCAGGGCATACCTGCCACGTTGGCCACCCGCAGGGCTTCCTGGTTCTTGGGGGTCTTGGAGCGGTTCTGGCTGCGCTGCTTGCCCCCCGTGGAGCGGGTGCTGCGAAGGTGGACCTCCGTGGCCTTGAAGAAGGCCACCATGAAGGGCTGCTTGTTCTGGGGTCCGTGCCGCCCGATCAGGCCTGCCAACTTGGGGTTGATGCTCTGCCCTAGACCGGAAGTAGTCAAATGCACAGAAGATCGATTACAGGAGAAGCAGTTTGCGGGGAGGGGCTACGTGGCGTGATTTCCATCCTCGCCTCCGTGGTTCACTCATGCACCTGCTATCTGTCCATCCAGCAAGTACTTATTCAGCATTTATGCCGGGTTGTTCAGGAGCTTGGAACACAGCAGGGAAGCGCACAGAGGTGTCCTCTGGGCATGCATGGCGGGGGGGCGGTGCGGGCAGGCAGCACAGACCACGGTAGCCCACCGTGATATGTGTGCGGGGAGAAAAACGGAGCGGGGTGGGTTAGGAGCCAACTAAGGTCTGCGGGGCTTGGGCTAGAGGAAGTTCCACTTACATTTCCTTGGCCAAATTGGGTCATGTGATCCACCTAATTTCAAGAGGTGGGAGAACCCCGTTTGCGCAAGGAGGGTGGGAACAGTGGCAAACAGCCCCAGTGATGACAACCTTATGCATGGAGGGGCCATTTGAGCAGAGGACTGGGTAACAGCGAGGGAGGGAGCCATGTGGGTACCGGGGACAGGCATTCCGGGCAGAGGGCACTGCAAAGGTAACTGCTTGGAGGTGGGAGCGAGGTGGGTGTGTTCAAGCAACAGGTAAGAGACCAGCTGCCGGCTTACAGCACCGACTGGAGTGAGCAGGGACGAAGGAGGGGTCAGTGGGATAAATCGGGGGGCTGATCGGGAGCACAGATCATGTAGGGTCCTGTGGGCAACAGCAAGCACTTTTCCTTTATTCTGTTTACTGAATTGAACAGTGTCCCTCCACATTCATGTCCGCCCAGAACCTCAGGATGTGACCTTATTTGAAAATAGCATCTTTGCAGACGTAACTAGTTAAGATGAGGTCATACCAGACTTGAGGGTGGTGGTGGCAGCTAACCCAATGACCAGTGTCCTTAGAAGAAGCCCACGTGAAAACACAGAGACACTGACACACACACACACACACACACACACACACACCCTGAGGGAAGGAGGCCAACAAACACCAAACACCAGCGAAGCCGGGAGAGGCAAGTAAGGACTCGTTCCTCAAGCCTTCGGAAGGGGTACAGCCCTGGGACTTCTGGCCTCCAGACTCCGGGAGGACAAAGCCCTGCTGCTTTAAGCCCCCCAGTTTGTGGACCAGGGACTGAGACGGTGGTGTGAAGTGGCAGCCACGGGGTGTTTGAGCTGCGCAGCGGGCACCCCGAGTTGTCTCTAACAGAGCACCTCAGGTGCCCCCGGGGGGCCAGGGGGAGGCTACTGGACAGTCCAGGGAGAGGGACAGGGCTGGCTCCAGGCAGCGGTGAGCAGTGCTGGCCAGAGACAGATCCTCAGGGATTCATTTTTCAAATCCGTCTTTGGAATTTACGTTTAAAGTTTTGTTTTGAAATGATTACAGATTCACAGGAAGTTGCAGAAGAAAACGTACAGGGACGTGCCCTGTACCCTTCCCCAGTTTCACCCCACGGTCACATAACGAGAGCATATCCCAAGCTGGGAAACAACAGAGCCTGGATCCACTTTGAAAGAAACATCTGGCAGAATTTGCTGAGGGACTGGACAGAGAGGCTGTGAGAAGGTGCAGAGTCACACCTGACTTTTGTGCTCTGGGCCTGAGCACCTGGAAGAAGGGAGGGGCCATTTATGGAGGTGGGGAAACTGAGGCAAGGGTTGGGGAGGGTGGAAGGCTGAATGCAGTGTGGTTCAATGGCTGCCATTTTCGGTGTCCACCTGTCGCCCGAGGGAAGCCGGCAGGTAGGCAGCGGACCATCCCAGCCCGGGTGCAGCTCCTGATCTGGGGGGAGAGATGGACCTTGGAACTACACATACTCTGGCCGGGCGCCAGACTTCCCAGGTTCAAGCCCTGCCTCTGTCACTCAACACACAGACCCTTCCCAGAACAGAGCTTTGCACGTGGGATGTGCTCGATAAATGTTGGCTCGGGGCATCGGTCAGGGTGACAGGGAGGAATTCCTCTGGACACGGGGTGTAGCTGGACAGCGGCCTCAGGGCCGAGCCCAGGCACCCTGACTCTACCACTGAGAGGTCAGGGCTCGCATCAGAGTGCCCAGTTAGGGAGGATCTGGAAGGATCTGGAAGAAGCTTGGGGAGGAGGAAGGAGGGCACCCAGAGGGTACGGGGCCGGAGAGACAGACAGGAGAAAGCAGACGGAACAAGCGCCGTGGCCTGTGCTCTGCTGCTGGGCGGAGCAGGCTGGGAGCTGAGAGCCGGCTGTCAGCTCAGGCCACTGGCCAGGGTATATTTGTTGTCATGCCACATGGTGATAAATATTCCAAAGAAAGATAAAGCCGATCTCACTCATGAGAGAACATCCCAGAGAGGCCGAATAACCTGCCCAAGGACACCCAGCTTGGAAGTGACAGAGCAGAATTTGAACCCAGGCTGCGTAACCGGGACAGAAATGCGTAACCCCCAGTTAGGTCGGAGGGGTCAGAGGCCAATGAACGTGGTGCTTCTGGAGGCCCTGGGCCGGTCCACATCTGGAATTAACTTCACCTGGAGCCCCCCAGACGGGCCCAAGTCAGGAAACCCAGCCTCCCAGGGACCAGATCGGCACCGGGGGGTTCGCTTTGGTTTTTTAACAGCTCGTGTTTAAAAGAGCAAACGTCCCCCATCCACCACTGTTTTACCTTCACCCCCTTGAATGTTCGGCTTTCCTGCATTCTTTAGCAAGGGTTTCCTGAGTTCATGCATTTATAATTCGAACGATTCTATAAAAGAAACCATTAAACCTGAGCCCCTAGGAATTGTATCTTGCCCCCACCCCCACCTGGAAGGCTTTTAGGGCAAAATAAAAATGCCTCGCTTGAAAACCTGATGCTGTTCCAGATACAGTAAATCTAAGGGCCGCGAGCGGGCCGTGCAGCACCAAGGGAGGGGGTCTGGCTGGCTCTTGCAGCTGTCAGGACAGCCAGGTCCGGGGACCCACAGCCTCAGCAGAGCGATGGGTGGACAGGGGGGAAAGAAGAGGAACTTCAAGGGGTTTAAACCCACATCTGCCACTGACCACCCTGTGTGGGCCAAGAGAGGTAAAGTTGGATGCTGGGGCCTTGATTGCCTCATCTGTAAATTGGGGATGATGCTATTTGTCTACCCCATGCCCCCTTTCCTTGGTACCCAACCCAATTTTCATTTCAGCCTCTGTGCCTTAGCAGACCCCACAGGGGTGGGCCTGTGGTCTAACGGACAACAACTAATCCTCCAGCTGCAGTGACTGGCTCAAGGACGGACACAGAACCCAATGCAATCAATGAATGGAAGAGAGGTACCCTGGAAGTTTCTGGAAAAGAAACTTCCCCCTTTAGCATTTGAAAACAACCTTCTCTCTCCCTGGACAAGACTGAGGGAGGAGGAATGGATGGAGCCCCAGAAATGGCCACCAACCAGAGACCACAAGATGTTTACATTTTCAAATGGGGCTGATCTGGTGGAAGGAAGAACAGAGAGACAGATGCAGAATCTCTGGTGATGTCGCTGAGCCACTGGATCGAACCAGTCCTGAAGCTCGTTTCTTGCCCCAACCACCAAAATGAACAAACCCCTGTGATTGTTTAGTCTAAGCTGCACGCATGTGTGTCTACAAAAACACGTGTGTGCAATTCCTCATAATTGGGACGGTTACTGCTGTTTCATATAAACCTGGCTTTTATGCAATATACCGTGGACATCTTTCCACATCAACGAAGCACACTGACCTCATCCCTCGTGGCCACAAAGGAGCCTCGCATCTGGAAATGCCTTTACCTTATCCTCTCCTACGGACGGACACTGAGGTTATGTGTCCCAGGCTTGAACAACCACGCTGTTATTGACCCCTTAGTTCATTCGGCAATACTGATGAACACCTACTGTGTGCCCAGCTCTGTGCAAGGTACAACAGTGAGCCAGAACAGCCCCCCAAAACACCGAAATAAGCTCAGGGATGCAGAGTATTGTGACTGATGGTGGTGATGGCCACGAAGTAACTAGGACCGGGTCGGGGGCAGGGACAAGGGGCACTGGTCAGGGAAGGCTTCTTAGGCACGGGGGTTCTGGGGGAGGAATGTTCCCTGCGGAAGGAATGGCAAATGCCAAGTCCAGGAGACAGGAACACACATGGTGTGTTTGAAGAACAGGGAGGAGGGGAGTGGGGCTGGAAAGAGGGAGGGAAGGGGGGCCGGTGATGAGGCTGGGTCACAGAGGGCCTTCTTGGGGGCTCTAGATCACATTCTAGGTATGACAGCAGCCACAGAGGGTCTGGAGAGGGGAACATGGCCAGACTTCTGTGGTGAGAGACCCACTCAGGCTGGTGTAGGGGGCAGATGGTGGTCCAGAAACAAGCCCCCTTCCACCAGGCTCTCCTCTAGACCCTCGCACTTTGGGTGGCCTCTCTGGGCCCTGCCTATGTTTTGCTGCCCTCCCACGAGCCCCACAATTCAGGGCAGGGTGGTCCCTTCCACCCACTGCCCCAGCACAGGACAGGGCTCTAAGACTGGCCACAGCACGTTGACCCAACAGACGGTGGCAACACAGTGGCTGGTCCTCGGCCCCCAGCACTCAGACCCCTGGGGGGCACTGGAGGATGTGCACAGGTGTCCCGGGAGCATCGCTCCCCCAGAGTCCTGATGACCACAGCTGTCTCCACACATTGCTAAGTGTCCCCTGGGAGGCGACACATCCCAGGTGTGGAGCCACGGCTTGGCACACCCCTCCCTAAAACAAGCACTGCTCCTGGACAAACACACAAAGGTAAGTCCTCGCAGTCAAGTTTTTAACTGTGAAACGCTAGAGACAATGTGGCATTTTATCCAGACAGTTAGCGGACCAGGCACCTAAATAATTCATTCATCTTTTTACAAATATTCATGGTGCACAGGCCGGGGCCGGGCACTGCTCTGTACCCTGGGGGTTACACCCAGAGCCCAGGGAAGGAAGCGCAGAACCAGATACAGTGTGATCACATCTTGGAGAGAAGAAATTTAAAGCATATATCAAC